GCCATCCAATATGGATGCCGTCACGTGATCATGCCAAACTTCTATGAAAAGACCTTTTCTCATAGTGTTCAACTGAATTAAAAACAAACTCACATTTTCCTTCAGATTTGTGTCCGTCGCCCGTCTCCTCTGAAGAATGATGCTCTTCAGCCAAACTATTAAAAGAATTAAACATTTTAGTTGGGATACCTGTGGTCGAAAAAACGGGCAAAATTTAACTTTTTCCTTTTAAATTTAACCAACCTTTGGGATTCAGAATTTTCGTCTTGATTTCYTTCTCCTTCTGATGCTTTCCTTTTTTCTTCTCTTTCTCTGAGGATGATCTTGAAAGRAYAATCGAGATTTATTAGAGGGAGGTAGTGGGGAGAGTTTCTAGGGGGAGGTGGGAGGGTAAAGAACGTGTTGCTACGTTCTTAGGTGTAGTGGGGTTTGAACAATGTTTAGGAGGAAAAAAATAAAAAAGTGGATGAGAGTCAGATATACTACAACTTAGGGGGATTGAGTGGTATTTTTACGATATATTAAAGGTAAGGGGAGGCCAGGGGGACTGACGTCTATAATTTAGTGGGGAGGAGAGGGTGCTATGTTTGGTAGAAGAATGGAGGGGAGGGATGTTAAGTTTTGGCTTTATTTTGTTAAACTTCAGTAAAAACTTAGGGGGGAGAGGATGCTACGTTTGAAAGAGGGTAGGGAGGGTAAGTTTTGACTTCATTTTGTTAACCTTTTTCAGTAAAAACTTAGGGGGGAGAGGGTGCTACGTTTGAAGGAGGGTAGGGANTAGACCCCTTCGATGATTTTTTTTGCTCTTGGGGTAAATTTGTGATTAAATATGTTTAAATAAAATAAATAAAAAACAGTGTTATGCATCGAATGTAAAACTGTTGTATTTCGAGGACAGAAGAGAAAGGTAAACTGTCTATAACTCACTCTCGGAATCTTCGACTATGAATCTGAGCCTTGACGTCATCTTCAGAAGGAGCAACAGTCTGATCAACATCACTGCTGAGGTCAGCGGCAGTATCATCGGCGTTTCCATGGTGATGGGTTTTGACATCATCTTTTGACTGAAGGACAGTTAAGTCATTGTCTTCGCTGGACGCTAATGATAGGAAATATTGGAAAGAGGTTATTTTTTGTGTAGATATAAAATGGCTGGGCCCGGTTGTACGAAAGGTGAATAGCGCTATCCGACGGATAAATCTTATCCAGTGGATAAATTTATTGGATAACAGCATCAACTGAATAAGGATTTATCTATCGGATAGCACTATACACTCTCCTTACAACCGGGTCCAGAACACTAGGTTCCCTTAACTCTGAAAAATGTAAAAAAAAAATTCATGTAAAACAATTCTGTCGTTTTTGCCATCCAATATGGATGCCGTCACGTGATCATGCCAAACTTCTATGAAAAGACCTTTTCTCATAGTGTTCAACTGAATTAAAAACAAGCTTACATTTTCCTTCAGATTTGTGTCCGTCGCCCGTCTCCTCTGAAGAATGATGCTCTTCAGCCAAACTATTAAAAGAATTAAACATTTTTAGTTGGGATACCTGTGGTCGAAAAAACGGGCAAAATTTAACWTTTTCCTTTTAAATTTAACCAACCTTTGGGATTCAGAATTTTCGTCTTGATTTCCTTCTCCTTCTGATGCTTTCCTTTTTTCTTCTCTTTCTTTGAGGATGATCTTGAAAGAACAATCGAGATTTATTAGAGGGAGGTAGTGGGGAGAGTTTCTAGGGGGAGGGGGGAGGGGAAAGAACGTGTTGCTACGTTCTTAGGTGTAGTGGGGTTTGAACAATGTTTAGGAGGAAAAAAATAAAAAAGTGGATGAGAGTCAAATATACTACAACTTAGGGGGATTGAGTGGTATTTTTACGATATATTAAGGGGAGGCCAGGGGGACTGACGTCTATAATTTAGTGGGGAGGAGAGGGTGCTATGTTTGGTAGAAGAAGGGAGGGGAGGGAGGGTAAGTTTTGTTTACCCTTTTCATTTGGCTTGGTTTTTTCTTCTTGGGTGTTTCTCTTTCTTTTCCTCTCTTGACGACAGGAGCAGTGGAATCCAAGATATTGTGAAAAGTCTAACAATAATAAAACATAGTAAACATCTTATTAAATAGGAAGGGAATTAAATCCAATATCTAATGAATTATTACTCAAGCATAGCCATTGTCCTTATGCAATGTTGAGGCTGGACTTGATGTGCTCAAATATTTACTGTATTTTATCAAGCTCAGCCTCTACTTGAAGCAATAGACCTTTCCTAAATTATTTTGAGTGACAAGGAAACAATGGTTCCAAGTCGAGGTTGGACTGCTGTGTTCATACATTTACTATTATATTTTATCAAGTCTAACCTTGACTTGAAGTCACTGTTTTGAGTCACTGAAGTGAATTTGCAAGTAACTCTGCATTTTTTGTGATTGGGATTCCTGTGGCAGGCCGAGTTTATGGAAATCAAAAAGTACCTAAATATAGCCTACGCTACTTGGCTGTTTGCGGTTATTTCAATAAGTTTGGTGCGGGCATGTGGGAGAAGAGAGGGAAAGCTCTCAAGCAGTTGTTCTTTCGTTTTATTTCTTCACGACAACCGCTGACCACAAAGCATCGCAGGCTATGATTAAAAGTCTTGTCCTACCTTATCAGTAGTTGGCAGGCCATGAGTAACATTCACTGCTGGTACACGTGACGTGGCTGAAGGTTGATCTTTGACCTTGATTTGTAAGACTCCAGTTGCTATGGTTACTGCTTTCTTGGGATGGGTTTCTTTATCTTTACTTATTTTGGGAGGAATTTTCTGAAGGAAATAAAATGACGAAGTTAAATATCTTGCCATCATGGATGATAAAAGTCCCAGGATTCAATCTGATCCCTAAATTCCTTGAAATTCGCTGAAATAATTTTACATTTTTTTAGTTTTCAAGTTTTTTTTAAAAAATCCTTATCCAGTGGATAAGTCGATGCAGTTATCCAATACTTTTATCCACTGAATAAGTTTTATCCGTCGAATAGCGCTATCCAGGCTTCGTACAACCGAGCCCAGAACTCTAATATCTCCTATTCAAAATAAAATGATAAAAAAATAATAAAAATCCTTGAAAACTGTAAAAATACCTCGAATAAACTCAGGCAAAAAGATATTACTTTTAAAATATGACCTTAAAAATAATTTACCTAGTAATATTCGTATTAAAACATGAAAACAATGCGGATTCGCTCTGTTCGACTGGTACGCCACATTGAATTCTAGATCGTATTATGCTCCTTGACAGTTGTCATTTTGATGCTTCAAAACTCCTTGAGCATGAAACCTCATTGAATATTTTTATGGAAATGTGCTCTTTATCGTGTCTTGGTGGCAAACAAAAGGGATGTAGGGTCTGGAAATGACAATACGACCGATTATAGAACACGCATGCGTATTAGAGCACTGATTTTGTTCCTTAGTCCAAGTATCCCCACTCTGTTAGTCAGCCAGTATAATTTCTCTCGAAATAAAATTATTCCGGCTGAACGCAGGATACCGCTCTTTAGAAGTCTGATCTATTGATCAACATCGATAACCAATCAACCAAAACAGTTGAACTGAAAACACAAAAGATTTTTCTAGAACACTTCAAACGTATCATCATCACCATCTACACTATAATAATCACTACCAATTTCTTGCAACGAATCCTAGTAATTATCATTTAATATTATTTAATATTCGTTATTTTCCCTCAGTCTTTTATATGTATTTTTTTATAAGAGCATTTTCATTTTTTGCTTCAGTGGACTGATTTTGCTCTGT